AATTAGATTATATATAAACATTTGAAATTTCTCTGCTGAATCTAGGCCATTACTAGACTATTATCTGCTTTGCTTCATTTCCTAAACTTTTAACTTTTGAATCATTTTCTTTCAGTGAAGAAAAAATCTATGAATGTCCAGACTACCGAACATCAGGTCCCAATTCCTGCTACTTTGATCAAAACCACACTGATCCCTGGACAACATATATTATCACTGTAATGGCAACAAATGAGATTGGAAGTAACAGCTCAGATCCTCAGTATGTGGATATAACCTCCATAGGTAAAAATAGAAGAATGAAATGGAAAACAAACTAGTTGGATATGTATGCCATTTTTAATCTCAGAACAAGTCATGGTGAAAGATTTCTTTCCTCATGATGTGAAACTTGCTATGGAGAAGTGTTAGAGCTGCAGATAATCTAAAATATACATCTTCAGTTTATGTAGAAACTCCATTTTATTTATACATTAAATAACTACATATCTAGTAATTTTCACTTTGGCTGAAAAATTGGCTTTGGATTTTAGTTGTCTCCAGTATTTCAGTTAAACTCAATGCAGATTATAAAATTAGCAAATTAGGTTAAGCTACCTGAATTTTCCAAGTGTAAACATCTTTCTGGCTGTGGCATTGCAGTCTTGGGAGAGTAAAAATAACTTCCTGAGCATTCTATAGCGTTTTTTGTAGAATTTCATATTCCTGACTCCAGTCTGCTTTCTGCATACACATAATATATACATTGCAATGATCATAATCTTATTTGTTTCAGCTATGAAATATCTGACATTTTAGTTTTGCAAGAGTGGCCTGATGAAATTATGATTTGTGTTTCCTTAGCCTGAGAAATTCAAAGTCTAAGATTTGCTGATACTGTAGTAAATCAGTAGCTAGTTGAGCTTGTTAGGGAGAAAGGAAAAAAAAGAGGTTATCGTAGAATTGCTGAATTATCTGAAAACAGTGTGATGAAATACAAAACCATAAAGGAGGTGCCTTTTCTGAGGGAAATTAAATCATTAATTGCAGACTTTTCATTCATTTGTACAGTTCAGCCAGATGCTCCTGTGAACCTCTCTCTAGAAACAAAAACATCTGCTAGCATAACATACCTTTGGGCAAAATGGTCTCCACCTCCGTTAGCTGATGTCAGCTCTAATTCACATGTATATCACTATGAGCTACGCGTAAAACCTGAGGAAAAGGAAGAGTGGGAGGTAATGGAAAAACATATTTAATTGTACAAATGCTCTTTTCAGTGAGTTCTCTTGTCTCAATTTAACTGGTGTTATAAAAAATTAATTTTCAGTAAAGATAGAAAGGTTAATGTAACCAAGTCTGATTAAAGAATGAATAATACCGTGCTGGTTTGTAGAGACAGTAAAATTCAAAGTATTTGCATAATCACCTGGTTTGTAGAGACAGTAGAATTCAACATATTTGCATAATCATCCTAATGTCATGTACTACAAAACTACTTTTAGTCCACTGATACAGGATTTATTTGTAGTGTTAGTCAATACATCTGATCCTAAGTGTCACAATAAGATACTGTTCAGCTCATATAATTTAAACCAAATCAGGATCAAAGCGGTTTATTGATTCATTAAATGTAATTAACAATTAACTATGCAGCAATGCAATAGATAAATCACAATATCGGGTGCTTTAAAATGTTACTAGACAACTGCAAATTTATAAATGCATTTCTATAACTAGTTCCAGACATATTCTATATACAGAAATTCCCCTCTCCCAGGAGGGATGGGTTATAAGCACGCCTCTCCCTCCTACACCCAGTTCTGTGGGGCAGATGGGTGCTTTAACATTATGTGAACCCATGTCCCTTCTTCCAGTCTACTAAGACACACATTAGTAAGAAAGCACCCACATGGTCACACACATGCACCCAGGTGTGGCTTCCTGCTCACTGCAGCCCATGCTGTCTGAATAAGAGCACAGCACCAGAGAGGCAGTCTGGCCAGGCAGCGGTCATGATGCTGGCTGAGCAGCTTCTGATATCTGAAGTTTCCAGTTTCTCCCCACTATTACAAATTTCCATGTTTCTTTATTACTACTTTTCAAGCTGACCCTTTTTGTTACAGATAGTTATTCCCTAATTATTATTTATTTGGGTTGAGAGTTGTCACCATCAGCTCATCTTCAACATGATCAGATGGAGGTGACCCTGCTCTCAGAAAGTTTGGTGTGTCCTACTCACACATACCATTTCCACAGATATTCTCTACTGTTGCCATGTCACTAGGAATGAGCCACAGTATTCCCACAGCTGAGATCTCAGGATAAAGTATCATTCTTAAAGTTATAGTCAGGTGTTCCCGATGCTACCTAAATTATTGATGTCTTAATGATGGAGAAAACTATATATGTTGAAAAACTTCTGCAGAGAAATTCAAAGGGCCTGAGAAAGGCACTTAAAGTCACTGAAAAGCATTACATGGAGTATGTATGTGGGTTGGACTACCTATAGTGTTCCTTGCATTGTGGATTTGATAGAGTACTAGGATATCTATAATTGACTATGTTCTTGAGTATCAGAATCTCAGTATGGCTGAAGTGAGTTTTTCTGCTAAATCACTTCCTTTGCTTCTTTGTAATTCACATCCATCCTGGTTCCAGCCAAGACAGGGTTAATTCTTGCAGCAGCCACGAGGGGCACAGCCAGGACCCTGGGGTTATTCTACACCACCTCGGCCCGTGCTCGGTTTGGTCGGTGCACAGGGTGTGTGGTTGTGTGGCACTGGGTTCCGCATGGTGAGAAATCATGTGCGAATCTTTTGCCTGTCTTGTACACTCTGGTATTAGTACTGTTGTTGTTACTGTTCATTTCTCTCATTTAGTTGCTGTTTCTAGTAAATTGTTCTTATCTCAACCCGTGATCTCTACCTTTTGTGCCTCCAATTCTCCTCTCCATCCCACCACAGGGGGAGTGGGAGAGTAAGCATGTGGCATCTGGTCTGGGGTGTTTCAGTAGGGTGTTTCAGGTGTTAAAGTGGGGAATACCATTCCTAAACCAAGACAACATCTTATGAAATACCCACCTGAAACTCTTGACTTTCAGAAGTCAGCAACACAACCCTATTCCTTTATGTTTGATTTGTTAAAATGTCCCAATTCTTTGTTATTTTCTCAGTCTATTTTCTTTTCCAGACAATATCTGTTGGAGTGCAGACACACTACAAAATGACTGGATTACAAGCTGGGGTGAAGTATGTTATTCAGGTCCGTTGCATGTTGGACCCTGGAGAATGGAGTGAGTGGAGCTCTGAAAGATGCATTCGGATCCCCAGTGGTGAGTAGATCATTGCTGTTCCGTAAACGTTTTTTAAATCCTAGCAGGTTCAATGTTGTGGAAGGTGCCTATATGGCAGCCCTTAAAACCTGGCTTCTCACACAGATACTTTGTTGTGCTGGAAGAACAGCTCAGTGCATTTTGCCATACTTGTATATGTATGACATATTTAGTCTTGTTGATCCACTCGGGATCCTCTGCTGAAACTGTCTGTGACAAACAAGGTGGGATTTGCTAGGAAGTCACTTCTGATACAGGTGTGTCTAAATAATTCATTGTTCCTCTCCCTTTATTTAAAAATCATGTTGATTTTTTCTGTAGCTATAGATATTGGGAAATGGTTTTTGTGTAAGAACCTGGACTGAAAGCACTGCCATGTCTAACACAGCATAACATTTGCAGGTACTATCATATGGTAGTCATTATCTGTGTTTTCTTGGTTTTGACTAGACACATTAAATATGCATGGCGTCACATCTTGTTGCCAGACACTTTAGCCAGGTTGTCTCAGAACTTCTTCATCTGTTACTAATTGTATTATTCATTATTCGACGTAGAGATCACTGAAGTACTGTTAATAGAAAAATATTTTTATAATGTCTCATTTTCAGAACTGCCCTAGGCAATTAGAAATTTGAAAAATCAATGTCTCTTCTCTACATAGTAGAAAATATATATTATTGATATAATAGGACCATATTTTTGCCACAAATACATAACTGCAAAAGTTTCAATCACATCAGGGTTTTGACTAGCATCATCCTATTCAAAATATAAGCATTTTTTTCTGCCCTACTCTTAAGTGCTTTGCTTGAGTCTATAAAAACCTCATCAAGAATCTATAATTACAAATTGCTTGGCAGTAATAAGGCAAGTAGCCTGAGTACTGAACATAATACCACTTTGCAAGGAAATATGAGAGCTGCTTTCTTGTATCTTTGGAGTCAGCTCATAGGTACTTCAGAAGAGAATTTCTGGCAAGGACAAAAGCAAATGGGCAAATATTTAGATTCTTCATCTTTTATGTTTATGCTAAACATGAGAGTTCTATCCTGCGGAATATCCCTTTGGCCAGTTCGGGCTATGCTCCCTCCCAGGTTTTTTTTGCACCTCCTCACTGGCAGCGCAGGAGACACAAAAAGGTCTTTGATTTAGAACAAACATATCTCAGCAACAACCAAAACATCCAGGTATTATCAACATTATTCTCACACTGAATCCAAACCACAGCACTATACCAGCTACTGAGAAGAAATTAACTCTATCTCAGCCAAAACCAGGATGGCATAGAAAATAGATTGGATAGCAGAGTGTATTTTAAATTATTTTTAGAGCCTGTTATGACAGTATTTGAGCAGTCCTTACAAGATCTTGGGGCAGAGAAGAACCACAGTCAGAAAACTAAAACAGTTGTTCGGTGTGGCTGCAGTGAGAAAGGATTCTGACTCCAGGTCAAACCAGCTGACTGTTGCCCTAACCACTGAATAGTCCCTCCTCTCCTGTGCTAATATGAAGCAAAACTTACTTTCTTTGTATTTTCCTGTGCTCTGCTCAACATTGTTTTATGAATTCAGGTTGAACCTAATGTATTAAACTTACTAATTCGTTCATTTCTTTTTGTCTTACAGGAGAGTCACCTCCTGAAAAACCTACAATAATAAAGTGCCGTTCTCCTGAAAAAGAAACATTTACTTGCTGGTGGAAACCCGGTTCAGATGGAGGGCATCCTGCTAACCACACTTTGCTTTACAGCAAAGAAGGGTAATAAGTTGTGTTTTATTGAAAGGACCTGGGAAATCAATCCTGATTTGTTTTGCCTTTAGGGAGACGTCGTTTTCCATAGTCCATGGTTTTGTCCAGTGGCATATTCTGGAATAGCACTAAAACAGCAATGCATTTAATGTTGAAATAGGATCACTTTATAATGTTAGGTAAATTGCTGTGAATTCTTCTGCTTAAAAAGATGGACTGTCTTGAAAGTTACTGTGGCACAGCAACTGCATATTAATAAGCAATACAAATTCACAGTCCTGTATCTCTTTGGCCATGCAACCCCAGAAAGAAAACTTTCCCAAATGACCAGATACTGAAATTTTCATCTTCTGATAAAGCTTATTTTGCACAAGTACTCATAGGCCATGAATGCCCCCTGGCTTCTGCAGTAATCTTTCCTTGGAACTTAGATCAAGTGCTAAACATTAATTTTAAAGAAACAGGCAATATTTTGTTTAGGTCCTGTGAGCTATTTTTTGTTTACCTAGCACTGCTCAGCCCTGCACTGACCTAAGTGGATGCTAAACTCTGTGCTTGTCAGCTGAGAGCCAGGTCTTAATGGAGAAAGACAGATACTGGCCAGCTAGAGCAGAGTGTGAGGTCCACATCCATTCTCCTTCATTATGCATCTCAGAGCAGTGTGGAAACAAGTACTACACACTTAACTTTCTCTCCTATCCCTGCTCCAACTTTGGGAAGCTTGGGAATGGATTTGCAGGACAGGTACAATGTCGATATTTTAATGAATGAGTGGTGAACAGCCAAGATAAATTCTGAAAGCATATTAGTGTAATATGCCAAACTCCTATAAGTGTGAAATCAACATTGGAAATACACAGTTTTAATAGATGGGATAGAAGACTTCAGCAATCACTTCTGCTTATTATCTGGAACGTGTAAAGGCTATGCAGGGGCTTTCAGAGAAGTAAGAGCTCCACTCTACTAGCCCACTGCTGCATCTACAACAGCCTAAATTCTTCAGGCTTTATTTTGAGGGGGAAACACTTATTACAGCCTCTGGAATTGTCCAATGACTCTTCAGTCTGAAAGTGTTTTTCTGATTTTCTTCACAGGCATGAAAAATCTGATCCAGCCTTAAGTAATGCTGAAGTAGTAGTAACCAAAGTCAGCTGCTCCAGTCTGTGTATCCTAATCACTGTGATTCTTTCATTTCAGAGAAGAAAAAGTTTATGAATGTCCAGATTACAAAACTGCAGGCCCCAATTCATGCTACTTTGATAAAAAGCACACCTCTTTCTGGACCATATACAATATTACTGTGAGGGCAACTAATGAAATAGGAAGTAATGTCTCTGATCCTCATTATGTGGATGTGACTTACATAGGTAAGAGTTAAAAAGTATTTTCTGTGGAACCAAATAATTCAGAATCATGGGGTTTGACACAAGAATGTGAATTCCATCTCTTCTCATATATAGTATTATATCCAAGTCAAAAACTTGTACAAATTAGATCTTCTCTGGTGTAATAATAAATCAATATTCATCCCTTTGCCATTTTATTTTCAAAGGAAGTCTAAAAATGCTAAAAGCTTTAAAACTACTTTCAGATAACCATTTATTGGTTTTCCATATTTCTTCCAGTCAAACCCTAAGAAACATACTCCAGCTAAAATCTTTTTTTCCACTGTAAAAGCAACTGAAATCAAATTGATCTTTTAACTAATAATACTTAAATTTGATTATCCAAAAGTAGTTTCCAGACCCAAGAGAAGCTGCATTAGTGCTTTTTATAGCAGTGTGCTGATAATCTCTTTTCTCAGACTTTTTCCACAGCGTGGCTGTGGGCAAGTATTTAGGGTTTTTACTGAGAGAACAGAACATTGTCACTGATAACCATTTTGTTGCCAGAGATCTGCCTGCCAGAATTCTAGCAATTGGGCTGCTGGACAAGCGGCTTTCTATTTTACCTTCATGCCATGACTACTTACTTGATGAAGCTTTGCATCAGACAGTAGTAAAATATATGCACAATATGCAGAAGCTCTACCTCTGAACTGAGAAAGCTGCAAACCTGACAATACAGAAACCTGTGTGCCCTCTTGTCTTATTTTTGAGATATGTAGACATAGCTTTAGTTGCTGTTTTGGTTTACTTTTAAATATCCTTACATATGCATATAGGGATTATGCTGTTATGTTTTCTCAATGTAAAAGATGGAGGGGGCAAGTTTCATCAGCTACATGCATGTTTTCAGCATTCCCAAATACATATGCCAAACTTTGGTAAGATTGTAATAAAACACAGCGTTCGTAACACAGCATTAAAGTTGTTAAATTTGAACCACAGTTGTGGGAAAAAGCAACACTAAATGGTAATGTAAAAAACATTTTTGGTGATAAATTATTAAGGCAAATCTCAACATGAATTCAACATATTTACTGTTCTTTTGGGTATTTTTTTTCAAATTCAAAAACCCATACTAACTTTATCTGGACACTCTTGATTCCTGTATTCCAGCACCAGTTCTACATTACTTGACGCTATAGAGGTGACAACTCTTCACTAACACCATTTTATATTTCTTCTTAAGATGCAAGGTGAAAATCATTTAGACTCTTATTGACAGTTCTTTTATTTTAACAGTACAGCCAGATCCTCCTGTGAATGTAACTCTGGAATTAAAAAAGTCAATAAATAGAAAACCATATCTGGTCCTGACATGGTCTCCACCCCCACTAGCTGATGTCAGATCTGGATGGCTTACTCTTGAATATGAATTACGACTAAAGCCTGAAGAAGGAGAAGAATGGGAGGTAAGGACATTGCATGTTTTTGCTAGATGATGTCTTCTGATTAATCAGATTTTGTCAGTCAGGTCCCATGCCCGAATATAATGAAGCAGGCACACTGAATAGTTCGTCATTTTTTCAAAAGGCTTTGTGTGATCTGTGATTTTCTACTGACACTACTGGTATCTCAGATGCTTTTGTATGACAGCAGGTGATGAAGTGCTTGTTTTTAATTGTGGGCATTATACATTAATCATATTGGCATGACAGGTTAAATTGTTCATTCTCAGTTGTCGCATTTCTTTTGTGATGTTTTGTTCTTAACCACAAGCACTTCTTAGGTAACAGAAAGGTCAGTGACATTATGTAAAATAATTTTAATTTATATAAATAGCCATTAGGTGATAGTTGTAATGGCCACATAATAATAATTGTCTATAGCCAGTAAGTGCAACTCAAACAACTATGTGGCAAATTTAAGACTCCAGCTATTGTTATTTGGCTGCATCCCCTTCTTGCCTGCACTACTTCGAACCAACTCTGTATCACCTCCTTCCTTCCTCCTCCCACTGCACTTCCCAGCCCTCTGGCCATTGCAAGATCTGCTTTTTACTACCCTTTGCATTTCTACCAGCTCCACATTCCCTCTTTCTCTCTGCATTTTCTTTCCCCGTCTTTGCCTCTTGCCTCCTTCTGTTCCTCTCACCATTACAGTTTCCACCATTACCACAGTTCCTCTGTCTTTGCCATATGCTCATAATGTGTTTTTCTAGTAGTTTAATTTGCACTGTATACCGGAGCCAGACCTCATTCCCACTGAAGCATGTTAGAAAGCTAAACTATGGAAGTGAAATAGGTGTACCATTATTCCATGCCTGCTTAACAATTATTGGGAAAAGCTATCCGGACTCATTCTGTATTTCCAACTTGGTTACCAAGACTTAAACCTTAGCTGTGAATTTTATTTAATTTCCAGACTATTTTTGTTGGACAGCAAACACAATATAAAATGTTTAGTTTAAATCCTGGAAAGAGATACATTGTACAGATTCACTGCAAACCAGACCACCATGGATCATGGAGTGAGTGGAGCCCGGAAAAGTATATTCAGATCCCTACTGGTGAGTGGCCAGGGATCCCTTCAGTAATTGTTATTGCATGCAAGTTCATGTTAGATTTTCATTTGTTAGCTGTTTGTGGCATCCATGCAGATCCCATAGTTTCCCTAGGACAGGTAAGAACATCATTGCTAAGGTAACACAATTCTTATTGTCCCTGCACCATACTCAGATAGCTCTCCCCTTCGTTACTTTCTGGAGTTAAGAAGGTGAATCAATTTCTTTGCTTATTTAAACCTTACCACTTCTGTCTATTGCCTCATTTGTTCTCATACTCGTAGTTTTTAATTAAAAGAACACTAGTAGCTGCATTAAAACTGCAACACAGATGACAAAGGGTGGCTGCCTCCAGACAGCAGCAGCTCTTCATTACTTTTTCTCTGGAATTAACTTGTGCTATGTTGCAATAAATGTCCTTCAAAATCTTTAAAAATATCTAGTTCTAGGCCATTTAAGCAACATACACATCCTCCCCCACCCCATTTAATTAATTGTATGATATGTATTTGATAATGAAATGACTACAGTTTTGGTACAGCTGGATTTGAACCCAATTGCTATAATTGTCTATGACTACATTTTCTTATTGATATATTTTTGTCTGACTTTTCAAGACAGTTTATTTCCTGTGCAGTGCCATTAGTAAAATTATATTTGTTATCAGATATTACAGTGATTGTGCTGGTAAAGGCCTCTAGATCCAATACCAAATTTGGCAGTTTAGGCCAATTTTTAAAATTAAAGTAATTTGCAAATTTTTTTGCATGCTGACTATTCATATATTAGATGTAGGTCCTTATATAATTCTGTATGTTTCTTAGACTTTAGAGTAAAAGATATGGTTGTGTGGATCATCGTTGGTGTCCTGTCATCTCTTATATGTTTAATCATGAGCTGGACAATGGTTTTGAAAGGGTACAGGTAAGTCGCCAATTTCACAATTGCATGAAGTTTAAAATCACAGAAAACCTTTCAAAAATAGACTTCTAATATTTGATTCAATTTCCTATAGCATTTGTGTTCTCATATAAACTATTAGTTACACATATTTGACTTAATTTGCAACTGATGAAGTATTTCTGCTCCTTAGGGAAACCAGGCTAAATTCTCAATTGGTAAAGACATGTCTCTGTTAGATCTGACAACCTTGGTTAGCCATGCAATTATTCAGCAAACATCACTTGGAGTATCCCTCTCCTGTAGAAGACACTACTTTGGGTTTTGTCATAACTTCCTAAAGTAAACAAAGTTATATTATGAGGTTCTTTCTGCCCTCCTGTCTGTCAAATCCCCAAATAATTTATTAGAATGCTGCCTAATTTCAATCAAATCTGAATCAGAAAGATGCTGCAAAGATTATAGTTTTTGTCTTGCAAAAATTACTGGCTGAGTAGAAGACATAGAAACTATGACTGGAAAAGCCATCAGAAGTCACTCACCATTAATTCTGTTTAGTAGTATTCAGTCAAATATGCACAGGCAGGCCCAATAGTCCCCCCTGAACTGTGCTCCACTTCACTGTTTCTTGGCCAGTGATGAATTTACAGTGGTGGTAGAGAACTGGAGGTTAAGGGACAAAGGACTGTAAAAGGACATTAGCAGTGTTTCTTTTTTCAGTTGAATAACTTTTGTGCCGTTCTTATAAATACATCTAAGGATACTTTATGAACTGTAACTGGATTTGTGAATTACCTGGCTTGAGAGGTAGACAGGAAACAGGTCCATAGCAGGGGACATATCGGATATGGGAGAAGCATTTAAAATCTCAGACATATTCTGAGGAAATGGAAGAACAAATAGTGAAATAGAGCCCATACTTACACTTGGTGTGTTTTGTTGTGGTTTTTTTAGAATGATGGCCTTTATCCTACCACCAGTTCCAGGACCAAAGATAAAAGGCATAGATACGCATCTCTTAGAGGTGAGTACCACAGCTAACAACAAAAGAATTCACTATTACTTACTTTTCCAACTTATGTACTAGCAAACACAATTACTATAGTAAAGTATAAGACAGTTTCAATTAATTTAATCAGTGTTAAAAGTCAGGAACACTTTCAGGTTGATCATGTGGAGGTTATGCATGAGACAAAGTTTTGCCTTGCACTTGTAGTAGGAGGGTCTTTGAGAACAGGGTTTGTGACTGCAGCTGTTTCCTGGGACACAAGAGGAAATGCCTATGTGATCTTCCTAATACTCCTTATGGAAGTACTAGTATTTCTTATGGAAGTTGCTCTCTACAGTCTCTTGCTGTGTCCTCTCTCAGCACATGGCTGCGCTATCATTCTCCTCCATTTCCTTCTTGCTAAACCCAAGCTCCCAAATCATCCCGCTCTAGAAACCTGAGTTCTGGGATTGTGCCACCCCACTGAGGGATTTCAAGACATTTTCTTCCCTTCTTTCAATATTTTCTGCAGCAGTAGAAATCCAGTTTAGGTTTAGTGATTTAAATATTGAAGTGTTCATGTATCAAATACGTAGATTTTTCACAGTTGTTCTAGTCAGATAAACTCTAAGGTTAACAATGATTAATTATATCGTATGTATTATGCCCTTAGACAGGAAAATCAGAAGAATTATTGAGTGCTCTTGGTTGCCATGGTTTCCCTCCAACATCAGACTGTGAGGAACTACTGATAGAATATCTGGAGGTAGAGGACAGTGAGGATCAGCAGCTCATGCCAAGCCATGACACTCCTAGTAAAAACACAAAAATGATACCCAAGGAAACAGACAGTGACTCAGGCAGAGGAAGCTGTGATAGCCCTTCTCTGCTTTCTGATAAGTGCAGGGAGTCCCGTGCCCTTCCATCAGCACTTCAAACACAAGATGTAAGAGTTGTTCAAGAAAATAAAGGAGGAAAAAGGAGCTGGGAAACTCGGTATATAGCCTCAGAGCAGAAAACACTCCTTTTTAACCATGACAGCACAAAGTCATCCACATGGCCTGCAGCTCAGATACCTAATAATCAGCCTCCTATGTTTGCCTACCACAGTACTATGGAGGCACACAAGATAACACTGAGTACCACAAATGTGAACATTTCACCAGTTTTGGTGGGAAATGAAGAAAAGCATCCCATCACCGAAACTGTCCATGACGACATGGAAAAACAAAGAGAGATGGAGAATTCCAAAACAGACCAAATCACAGTGCAGGTCAAACAAAACAGACATAATGACAAGTCACCTTTCTTGAATCCTAAATTAATGGACTATGTAGAAGTTCATAAAGTCAGACAAGATGAGGACTCAACAGTATTACTGAAACATAAAGAAAATACTGGAAAGACCGAAAAATACACTGTTCCGGGAACCAGCAAAGAATACACCAAGGTCTCAACAGTTGTGGACCATAATATTCTAGTATTAATGCCAGATTCACGTATCCAGCACACACCTGTATCTCAAGAACCTGCAATGGAAACATCTCAGAACCTTCAGCAAGGTCAAGCTGAGAAAAATATGAGCTACTGCCTGACAGTTCCAAGTGACTGCAGAAGAGTTACGAGTGGATCAGAGTACATGGACCCATCTTCCTTTATGCCCTCCTTTAAATAACCAGTTAGTACAGAACATACTGAATAGTTATGGACAGTAAAACAAAACCACATAGCAAATTGTTCTTTAAAAAAAGCTTAGCCTCCTATGTGATTGTAGAGATAATAAACTGTGGGTTGAGGTAATAAGCATGGAAGTAAACCTTGGATCATTAACATACATTTCTGACACAGTGAAACGAGGAAATGGATAGTCTGCCATGAAAAATACATTGTAAACTAATTACTCAGCTCTGCAGAGCTTCTGTTGATTAAACCTGAGGGAATACTGCAGATTCAACAAAGATGAAAATTGTTATGGGTCAGTCAGCACACCGTAGTGATCTGAGCAGTTCCTAAATCAGATAAATCACTGCACAACAGTATTCTTATCTACAATGTATTTTCTTCTGACACTAGGTTAAGTTTTCTTTATATTTTTTCCCAATCCTTAAGAAAAAAAGGAGCTTTTGTATATACAAATCATATTTTAAAAAGAATATATTCTACAAAGTACAGTAAAATAACAAATTCTTGTGAATTTATTTTTGCTTTATTTCAATGTGACAGAAAACTTTGCATCCCATTCATATCGTAGTCCAATCAAACCAAACATGAAAAAAAGCAGGATAATATTTGATATACTGCCTTACTGTATATAATACACAATTCTACTTTAGTATAAGCCCATATGTTTAACAATGTATTTTTAAAGGCTATTTTTCTATTACAAAAAAAAGCAAAATAAAATATTTTTTAATTTCCCAATGCTATTTAGTTACTTAGGAACTTTTCTGTTTCCTTCTGCTGAGGCAGTGGTAACAAGTAAAGCTACAATTTCTATACAAAGCCTAAAATTAAACTTTATACTAATTAAGAATATGAAGAAATTTTTAAA